GAATCAGTATGGAAACCAACACGGCAAAGAACAACATCATGTTCATGTTAGTTTGGCTCATACCCTTCAGTGTAATAGTTAAAAATGATCCACTGGCCTGGTTTTAATCTAGATTCAGGGGAAAATCTTATTCAGACAGGCTGCGTAAGCCTCATCTGGCACGACATTGTTACAGTCAATACATTATCAGTCACTGTTTACACTTAAGTACAATAAAATCAGAAGCATTCTCGCACAAACATATTTGGCGGCCACATTTCAGTACTTCCATGGTTATTTTTGTTACTGACTTTTCAATCAGGCTACTTGTCCACTCAAGATAACTTGTCCACTAAAATTCTCTCTAACTTTCCTCTTTAAAAAAAAAAAATCTACTTGTCCCAGACAAATGTTACGGTGCATTCACACAGGGTGTCGGCATTAATGCTTCTCATTTACTTTGAATGGGTGATGTCATGCATTGCTGAACTGAATTGTCAAGAGGCATTTATTTGTCATTTGCACAGTTACACTGGGGAACTGGGCATTGAAATGCCTGTGATGAGGCTCAAACTTACAGTACTTTAACAGGACTATACACACACATAGTATTCATGACCATATACAATTAGGCACAGACAGGTGGAGGGCATTGGTATATCAAAGTGACGTGCTATTTTGTAGGCAGGACAATAAATTCAATAAATACAAATAAGTGGCAGTAAACAAATATATGAGAGTTCTGAGGCAACAGTAACAAATACAATATCACAATACAACAAATACAATAAAGGCGGCAGGAACAAATGCAATAAATACAGAAAGTAAAAAGTATTGAGAGTTGCTGAGTGTGAGTGAGGAGGATGTGTGTCTGCCAATTCTGACTACCTGGGGTCCGCTGGTCAGAAAGTCCAAGATCCAGTTACATAAGTGACTGTTAAGTCCCAGATCCTTTATTTTGGCTACAAGTTTGGAAGGGATGATTGTGTTGAATGCAGAACTGTAATCAATAAACTGCATCCGCACAATAGCGGTCTCTTCCCTCCAGGTGTTTCATGGCAGAATGAATGGCCATTGCAATGGCATCATCAGTGGATCTGTTTGACCGGTAAGCAAACTGGAAAGGGTCCAGTGTGTCAGGTAGAAAGGAGCAAATGTGGGATTTGACTAGACGCTCAAAGCACCATGATGACTGATATCAGTGCTACGGGGCGGTAGTCAATCAGGCAGGAGACGGTGGTTTTTTTTGGGAACAGAGATGATGGTGGTCCGCTTGAAGCATGTCAGACTCAAAGAGAGGTTGAAGATGAAGACATCTGCTAACTGTGCAGTCCAGGCCCTTAGGACATAACCGTGAATGCCATCAGGCCCTGGAGCTTTCTGGGTATTGACTCTCTTAAAGGGGTCATATGATGCGATTTCAAATTTTCTTTCTCTTTGGAGTGTTACAAGCTCTTGGTGCATAAAGAAGATCTGTGAAGTTGCAAAGACTAAAGTCTCAAATCCAAAGAGATATTCTTTATAAAAGTTAAGACTTGTCCATGCCCTCCTAAAACGCCTCATTTAAACACGCCCCCACATGTCTATGTCACTGTGTGGGAAGATTTGCATAACGCCGCCCAAATGTTCATGCAAAGAAAGAAGGCATAACTTTTATTCTTGCTGTAGTATTGTTACCGCCGCCGCAATGTTGTGGATATGCTGTGTTTCATTGTGAAAGCAAAACTACTTTGTTTGGCCTTCCAAAAGAGGACGATATCCGCTATGTCATGCCTAGAGCTGATCTGTGCTGGTCACTGAGGAAAAACATCAACTTACCGCTGTCAATCGCCGGATCGGCTTTCACCGTGGACGAAGCAGAGTCCAGCCTGGCGTCGTCACATGTGGTTGTCGCAAGCCTCCTTTGTCGAATCCACCGGGCACCGCTCACTCAAGCCGCACTCAAGCAGTGGTGTGTTTCGTTGTGAAAGCGAAACTACTTTGTTTGGCCTTCCAAAAGAGGACATAATGTTTCTATAAAGTGGGGCAGTTCCAACTTTGCAAGGACAGCCCTCTACGAACACCTTGGCAATTTAATCGCCATTGACTAGTACATTGTTTTAGTTTACTCGCCAGACTGATATATATATATATATATATAAGCAAGCCAAAATCATCACAATTAAAAGAACCAACGACTTAAACTACTTCAGTCTGTGTACGTTGAATTTATTTAATACACAAGTTTCACAATTTGAGTTGAATTACTGAAATAAATGAACTTTTCCATGACATTCTAATTTATTGAGATGCACCTGTACTTAGCCTCCAACTCACACACTGGCGAGTAAAATATGAGAATTTATTAGCAGTTGGCTAGTATTAGACGTCATTTAGTTGCCCAGAGTGAAGTAAAGTTTTTAAGGAAAACATTACAGGATTTTTCTCCATAAAATGGTCTTAAATGGTGACCAAGGGGTTGAAAGTCCAAATTGCAGTTTCAATGCAGCTTCAAAGGGCTCTACACGATCCCAGCCGAGGAATAGGGGTCTTATCTAGCCAAACGATCAGTCATTTTGTAAAAATAAATAAATGTATATGCTTTTTAACCACAAATGCACATCTTGCACTAGCTCTGCGACACATGTCCACAAATTCACACATTATGTAATCACGTTGGAAAGGTCATGCACGGTTATCTCTTTGTGTACTCCAGTTCAAAAAGGTAGGATAGGGCGAAAAACTCCATCTTATATTCTCCTCCAACTTCAAAATCATCCGACACACTTTTTCTATAAAGGGCGTTTGACTTTTTGCATGTTCGCTTTGTAAACACTGAGTTGGTACTTCCGCCTTCGTCACGCGTGACCTTTCCAACGTGACTATGTAATGCTTGAAGTCGAGCTAGTACAAAATGAGCATTTGTGGTTAAAAAGTATATACATTTATTTATTTTTTAAGAAAATGACCGATTATGACATGGGGGTGAGTAAATTATTTTATTCTGGGAGTGAACTAATCCTTTGGAGTCCCTGCTCACTTCAGGTGTGGTTAGGGGGCAGGTGTCGTGGTTGACAGCTATTTCCATAGCAGGGAATGTGTTGCTTGTTTCAAAGTGAGCATAGAATGTGTTGAGCTTGTCTGTAAAGGAGGCAGACAAAGGCACAATACTGCTTTTTCTTCCTTTGTAGTCTGTGATATATCACAGACCCCTCCACATGCGTTGGAGGTCAGAGCTGTGATAGTCTGATTCCACTCTGTCTTTGAAGTCTCTTTTGCCAGATCTGATAGCATTTTGCTGGTCATACCTGGACTTGTAGGCAGTCAGATCATCAGAGTTGAAGGCTAGCTTACACCTCACCGTTGAGTCAATGCTTCTGGTTTGGAAATTTTATATTGACTGATGGGACAACATCCTCTGTGCATTTGTTGATGTAACATCTCGGAGTCTGTGTATTCATGAATGTTGTCTCCTGCTTCCTGAAACATTTGCCAGTCTGTGGATTCAAAACAGCCCTGAAATCTGGAGATGGCATCCTCACTCCATTTGTGAACTTCTCTTTTTTTTTTTTTTCTTGTTTGAGGCATTGTCTGTAGGCAGGTAGCAGCAGTATGGTAATGTGATCACCTTTGGTGAATGCAGGGCGGGGGAAAGGGGTTTGTAACTGTCCTTTAGTGTTGAACAGCAGTGATCCAAGGTCTGATCACTTTGTGTGGGAAAGTTAGTGTGTTGAGTAGAATTTAGAAAGAACTTTCCTAATGTTCACCCTATTAAAATCCCCAACAACGATGAAAGCAGCCTCAGGGTGGGCAAGTCTAGTAATAGTACTGTACAGTTCGTCCAGTGATTCTGTTTGTCCGCGTGAGGCGGAATGTAAACAACTGTGAGAATGATTGAGCTAAATTCCCACGGGAGGTAGAATGGGTGCACTTTAATGGAGAGCAGTTCAAGATCAGGGGAGCAGTGTGTGGCAAACACTGTAACATCTGTGCCCCAACGAGTATTAACTATAAAGCACAAAACACTATTGGGTCCGCGGATTGTGGGTCCGTTGCGTTGCGTCACTGGCGTTGCTTGCAACAGAAGTTGAAAAATGTTAAACTTTTCAAGCGTCTACTCGGGTGTCAGCCAATCAGATCTCCTTAATGCAAATACCCTAGTGCAGATGCTAACCAGTCGCATTCATGCAACACTGGAAAAGTAAGGCTGTTGTCACTATGATGGTCGCGTCAGCACCAAGCTTCAGACATGCCATCCATCAAGCATCGACGCTGATGCACTATCAATGTCAAGCCCTGTGGTGGTTCTCCCACGGACTACTTTGTCCTTGCACGTATTACAAATTGTGAACTTTATTCTTCACTCATAGTGAAGAACCTCCAAGCCAACGACATGCTTGCATACAGATGTGATTGTGAGCGTGGCTGTGACGTCATTGTCTGCACCTCTGGCAACAAAACCGACTGGCTCAGAATCTGAAAGATGTGACTGACCAGCCGTGCTGCAGTCCAGGCCGAGCATGCAGAAAATCGGCTGATTCTGGCTCCTGGCTGGTCGATCGACGCACCTCTACTTTAAACACCTCCGGTGTCTGTCTGTGAAAGTCATTTTAGCTTGTCTTACCTCTGAGATTTTGACTGTTTCTAACAATTAGAATCATAATTGACACAATCCTTTGAATTGATATTTGATTCATTGTATTAACTTTTTTACCCCATACAAAATGCTTTGCTAGGGGAAAAAAAACACGTATATTCTTGTTTGAAGTGTGATTTTTAAATGTTAGACATCTCAAATTTAGAAAATATGGTTGCTCTATCTGCAAACCTTGTGAAAAATAATTATAAATTATGAAGGGCTCATTTAACCTCTTGAAGTGGATGATCAGCATTTTCTGAAGGTTATGCGCACCTACTTTCACTGTCCATTTTCTGAAAATGAAAAATAGGCTTTTCGTGCCCTTTTTGTGCCTTATTCATCTGGTGCTAGTAGAATTTTTTTAATACCACCTCCTCTTTCTAATTAAATTATTTTGTTGTAGGAAACCTGAGGATTTGTCCAGGGAGGTGATACAAATTCAGCAGCGAGAACTGAACCTGAAACAGCAGAACTACACACTCAATAGCAGGTAAATACACACATGCACATGGACTAAAAGATATAGATCACTAACTTTGGGTCATAAATTTTGACTCATGACTCATTTGATTTAAGAAATTTGTCTGGAAGTAAGTCTGAAACTTTTACACAATAGTTCCAAAGTTATTTATTTTATCACAGAGCTGATTGTAGGTATGAGCTGAAACTATTTCAGATTAGATATTTGATATAGACGAGCCCCACTGTCACTGCATGATTTGTAAGATTTGACGTCCTCTGTAACAATTGAGATGGACAGAGTCTCTATTGAACTTCACTTGTGAGTGACAGCTCTTCTCCCGAGCTTGTGATCTGTCCCTCAAGATCCAATGGATTGGGACAGCCTCCCCCTCTCTCTTAAATGGCACTCTGTGAGTTCATGTCTGTTTTTGTGCTTAAGAATGTCATTATTTGACAAGGCCTCTAATGTGGATCTCTTTTCATCCTGTGCAGTTCTTTCAGCGGCAGTAATGGGGTCTTTTCTTGAGTTTTGCCGGCCAGCATTAGCCGAACTCTTTGATGCTCTTTCAGTCTATCTCTGGTCTCTCCCTCTCTAATTGTCAGCTGGTAATTGGTCGATGGGAGTTGGTGTGTGTCGGTGCTGCGCGGCTCGTCACTTGAGCAGTCAAGTCAAATGAAACTCTGACAATATCAGATCTCACTAATGAGCTGAGTGTTGAGATTGGGCTAATTATGAACTATGATGTCTAAAACAGCTTTGCAAAGTAATGAGTCTGCTGTCAGTTCTTTATGGAAGAAGTTGGGGCTGTCTGACTTTTCTTTTTATTGCTTTTATTACTTTTTAATGTGTTTCTATCAGATATAGGCCTATTATTTGCAAAGCAACTCACCTCTGGCGAGTGGAGGGCGTCTAGTGTGTGGAAAACAATACTTTTTGTGAATCTTTGGTTCTTGTTGTTAATTTCAGAGAGTACTTGTAGTAGACTTGGATCAATGTCCAAAACATTTTGGTTTCAAAACAATAATTGCCTGTGGTACCTCAGAAGTAATACCTAATCAGTACCATTGGCAACAAATACACTGTTTTTGGTTGACTAATGCAATTAAACTAGGGGTATCAATAGATTCAATAATTCACTGTCAGTAACTCTCAATTTTTATTGATGCATGTGGATAATACATGTAGCAGATGATGTGAATTTGCAGTAATTAAATTTATTAATTATAACATTTTGGTTTCAAAACAATAATTGCCTGTGGTACCTCAGAAGTAATACCTAATCAGTACCATTGGCAACAAATACACTGTTTTTGGTTGACTAATGCAATTAAACTAGGGGTATCAATAGATTCAATAATTCACTGTCAGTAACTCTCAAATTTTATTGATGCATGTGGATAATACATGTAGCAGATGATGTGAATTTGCAGTAATTAAATTTATTAATATACCGTAATACTGACAGCACAGCCAACACAATATCTAATAGCACACAAGTAACTGTCATAATTTAAAATAATGTGACATATAGGGCTGAATGATTAATTGCATTTGCGATAATATCGCGATATGAAATAACGCGATTTTTCAATCGCAGAGGCTGCGATTACACGGTCACGTGACACGCGAGAGTGAAGAGCTGTGTTCTGATCTTGAAGATCAGATCGGTGTATGACATCAAAGTACGGCGAGAGAAAGCATAAGGAGACGTCCACGCTCTCTTATAGCTCTCGCAGTGCTTTGATGACACACGCTCATCGGTCTAAGCAGCGCTGCTTCAAGTCGAGCACGGGCCATTAGCAGAAAAAGAAAATAAATAAATAAACAGCCAAAGGACGTAACTTAGAATGGGAGATGAATCGGTTTGTGAAAGCGAAGAGAAAAGCCATAGATGAAGTCGCACAGACCCAGGCAGGTGCTGGTCATTTAAAAGCTAAATGCAGAAAATATGATGAGGCATATATCTTGCTCTCGGCTTCACTCACCGTGTCTATACCAGACGCTACAGTTGTCGCACTGCGCCGCAACAGCTCTACACTGGACGCGACAAAACGACCGTTGCAAATCATTTGAACTTTGTGTCAGGATGTCATAAATAGAACAAGGCATCAGTTTAATGTCGGGTTTTGTCGCGTCGCATCGCATCCAGTGTACACAGCGTCACTAATTATAATAGTTTCTACTGTATTTTGCCGCTCGTGTAAAACAGCATGAAACCTACAAAAAATAAATAAATAACAGGGAGAGAATAATAATAAGTTATTCTCTCTATGCTATTTTTCAATGTTTCAAGTGAAGCAGGTGCTTTTTCCCCTGTAGGTTTTTTAAATTTAAAAAGTATAAATTTTTCATAATGTTTATTGAAATTATTTGGTAGTCTGAGGTGGGATGGGGATTCGGGAAAGGGGGGCAGATTTTTTTTATAGGTTTAAAGGGGGGCGAGACCAAAAAAGTTTGAGAACCACTGGTCTAAAGTTAACAGACAGTGTTTAAAAAGTGCAGTCCACATGTTTACATATGTTTATTACAGTGACTTTGAATTACCTAAAGTAGTGTGGTAAAGCAACAGATTTGTTTTTATATTTCTGCAATCTACTTTAGTTTGTGTGATTTGTTACTGACTTTCATATTAATGTTTACACCATGCTTATTTAAACATAATTATTGCATGCTTACAAGGTTGGAAGTTCAACAAATAAGTCAATGTACTGGGATTGTAGTTGTTAAATAAAAATGTCATTCATATCAATTTATGCATCACCTAATTTCATCGTAACATAATCTATCTAATAGCGTGTTGGGCATACTATACAATGATTTATAGCTTGTCTTTGTTGAATAATACAGAACATAAAGAGCTTTAAAAAATAATTGCATATTAAATAGCAATCGCAATATTGGTAAAAAAAAATCGCAATTAGATTATTTTCCAAAATCGTTCAGCCCTAGTGACATATAATGTGTGAAAATAATACATATATTGACCATATTTTGCTCCTTATGCTAAAAGTCCGGAGCTTTTAATGGCAGGCAGCTGCAGTGATGTGATGACTTTACCAACTGGTTATTGGCTGTTTTATTTAGAAGGTGGGACTTGACCACCCTGGTGTATAGGCAGGGCAATATAGCTAAAAATGTTTATCTTAATATTTTTTTAAATTTTGATGATATTCAATATAGATTAATGTTTTTGCATTTACTCTTGAAAAATGTAAGTTGATTTGCCCCCCATAAAAAAAAAAAAAAAGACGTGATTTGGATTAAACAGCTATTTTTTTTACAGAGTACATTCAAATTGTTCATTTTAAAATCAACAATAGTTAAAAAATAATGACGATGATGGCTTATTGCTTTTTACTAAATGAATGGAAAAGGAGCGTTTAAAAATATTATGTACCAAAATCAAATATGCAATATAAAAATGATACAAAAAATTGCAGTCTTCCTCCAAATAGTTGTGGTTGTTACAACAACAAAGTAAGTCCTTTTATATTGCAATATTGCTAATATTCAATGTATTGCTCAGCCCTACTTTTCAGCTGCCATATAGTGTGTTGCCGTTTCCTTGATTCATATACGAGTGCACCATCTAGGTATCTATCCTTTGACTCAAATCACAGTATTTTTATGCTGGTATATGATAGGGGTGCACCGATTGATCGGCTACCGATCACTATCGGCCGATAATCACGTTGGGATGATTGATCGGCGGTCTCTAAAAGGCCGATCTCAAAAAAACAATCTCAAGCTGATGACGCTGCCATCAGAGGTTTGGCACGACACGCAGCATCTCAGTCTCCGTCCGGCACGGGCTCATGTTAATGGATTAAAGCGTGCACACTGCACATGGTTGCGGTCCGGCAGTGCATTCAGGAGTGGTGCGTCTGCAGCAGTGCAGAGATCGTTTCCGCACCAAGTCTATTTTGCTGCGTTGCAAGCGCTGAATTAAAGTAAAAGCACATTGTTTGCAGTTAATATGAACATGGATTGACACGAAAATGTAGTAATTACACCATAAATGCATATTATTAATAGTGATCGACCGATATTGATATTTTATAACCGATACCAATTATTTGTGTGTTTATATGCCCAATAACCGATATTTATTTACTGTTATAAAGTAAGTCCATACTTCACTTTTTTCCTCCTTTCAGCCATCTTAAAAAAAAGTGTTAAATTACCAGTCTTTCATGTTAAATTTAATCTTCATATTACAATAAAACATTTTATTTAAAACATCAGCAGCAACACTAATATTAACAATAAGCAAAATAAATGTAGAAGGTCTAATGTTTTCAAATGGAGAAAATAAATAAATGAAAGGAGTCATATCTACTTCATTTTAATCTACAGTTTTAGTAGGTTTATAAGATGTTTAATAGGCTAAAGAGTGAAGAATAATTCACTGGATAATGTTAATTCACTGAATAATATTCTCTGGAATATTGAAATATAACAAACAAAGCATTGTATTTTATTGCATTTCTCAACTGGCATGTTATATCAGAATTACTAATAATGTTTTTGTCGTTCTAGATTATGAAATGCCTGCTGACAGCACAGTTTATCTATGCATTTACACAGAACTATACTCAAACTGCGATCGCTCGCGGAGATAATAAATTAGCTTCCATAGAGATGTATTTATTTAGATGTTTATTAGCGAAATAATGATTATATATTAAATGTTAATACAATTTAGGGGTGTTTTAAACAAGTGAATCTCGGTGGCCGTGCTGGAGCATTTCCTGAGCATCAACCCGGTGAGTGAACAACAATATGAAAGCGACTTCACCAGACTAATGATGAGCAAATATACAACAAGATAGGAGTAAATTTAGCATTTTTATTTCCAACATGCGCTCATTCGGGGCTGTATTATTTAATTAATGCAAAGTTACATCTTTATTGGGAGAGGACTTGAAGGATTATTTTAGCCTACGTGACTCCGCCTTCATGAGACGATGAGCTTATAGACAACAGAGAGCGAATTAAATTCAGTACTTTTATTCCCA